TTCACGGAAAAAAAAGACGATCGGGCTTTAGAGCCCAAAGCACAGCAATTTCATAAGAAGGACAAATTCATGCGAGAAAAGAAACGTTACAAAAAATTAAACATGTAGAGGTCTCTATAGCGGCAAATTCAAATTAAATGAAAAAAGCATTTAATAATTTAATTATTAATTAATTATTAATTAAATTATTAATAGTCTATTCAATAATAAATGATATATTAATTATTTAAAAGACTATTAATTAATCTATTAATAACAAATTACCTATTTAATTGACTATTAATTAATAAATTAATAATATATTAATTAAATTAAAATGTTGAGCTTTGGGAATAATTTTTTTGACATATTTTCTCTGTAAAAAAAAATAATTAACTAATTTTAGATTTAATTAGTTAATTATTTTTTTTTACAGATAAAACGTGCCAAAAAATATTATTTCTAGCCAAAAAAAATTCTTGAGCTTAGGAAATAATTTTTTTGACATATTTTCTCTGTAAAAGAAAATAATTAACTAATTTTAGATTTAATTAGTTAATTATTTTTGTTTTACAGATAAAACGTGCCAAAAAATATTATTTCTAGCCAAAAAAAATTTTCGAGCTTTGGGAATAATTTTTTTGACATATTTTCTCTGTAAAAAAAAATAATTAACTAATTTTAGATTTAATTAGTTAATTATTTTTTTTTACAGATAAAACTTGCCAAAAAATATTATTTCTAGCCAAAAAAAATTCTTGAGCTTAGGAAATAATTTTTTTTACAAATAAAACGTGCTAAAAAAAATTATTTCTAGCCAAAAAAAATTCTTGAGCTTATGAAATAATTTTTTTGACATATTTTCTCTGTAAAAAAAAATAATTAACTAATTTTAGATTTAATTAATTAATTATTTTTTTTTTACAGATAAAACGTGCCAAAAAATATTATTTCTAGCCAAAAAAAATTCTTGTGCTTAGGAAATAATTTTTTTTACAGATAAAACGTGCCAAAAAATATTATTTCTAGCCAAAAAAAATTCTTGAGCTTATGAAATAATTTTTTTGACATATTTTCTCTGTGAAAAAAAATAATTAACTAATTTTAGATTTAATTAGTTAATTATTTTTTTTTACAGATAAAACGTGCCAAAAAAAATTATTTCTAGCCAAAAAAAATTTTCGAGCTTTGGGAATAATTTTTTTGACATATTTTCTCTGTAAAAAAAAATAATTAACTGATTTTAGATTATATATATCTATCTAATATCTATCTCTTTTGCTTCCTCGTGGAGGAAGCTATGTAGTCCTTTCGTTTATAAAATTTTTAAAAATGGTGAAAACAAATTTTCCTCTACATAGAAACATGTTATATGAGATCCTGATCAATTGTCCGGATGTATGTGTGTGTATGTGTGTGTGGATAGTTTTTGTGAACACGATATCTTTAACAGGTTTTAATGGATTTGGGTAAAATTTGGTAGGCTTATTTAACACATTAATCTCTCAAAAATGACGAGAGGATTTTTAAAAATACCCCAAAAAAAAAATTTTATCGTCTTTTTTCCAAAAATTTTTTTTTAATTGAAAAAATTTTTAAATCGAAAAATTTAAGGTAATATATAATATAATCGTCTTCTTTATGTCAAGATGAATCGATTGATATATGGCTCATTTCATTTAAATTGTCATATTCGTGTCCCTTGCCAAAAAAAATTATTTGATATAACCTTAGTTGAAATTAATTTGTTTATATAGTAAAAAGCAATGATTTTCAATAAATTTTCTACTTACAAGGACATAGAAGTGATTTTCATAATATTGGTAGAACAAAAAGCAGGCAAAATGTCATAAGTGTAATGCGTCCCCGGAGACATTTTCAATGTTCAAATGAATGAAATGTCGAAAATATAGTGTTTAAACCAGATTAAAAAAATGTTTCGTGAAGTATTAGTTCTATATTTAAGGAAAATCAAGTGTTGGTAATTAAACTTTATTTTATACAATTTACAGAAAATGAAAATGACGTGTCCCTCACTTTTGTATTTTTACGTTTTGCCGGCAGAATTTTCAACTTTTACCTGCTATTTAAATTACCTTATGAGCAAAAAAATTTCTTTACCATCGCATAAGCAGCAGAACACAACAACGAAGTGTGTGAAAAAAACGAAAACGATATAAGTATAAATCTGCTCGTTTGTCATGGTGGCAGAAAAAGCCGAAACACTTTCGTAATTGAATTTCTGTCAACAGTGTAACGCCTTGAAAATGGTTAGAAAATATTTTGAATTTTATATCGGTATGGAATTTAATGTATTTTTGGATTCTCTTTCGAATGAGACCAACCCCGTCGATATAAGTATAACCGTTTTCATTTTATAAACGAAAAACGAGCAAAATGTCAACAGTGTAATGGTCATAAGTGTAATGCAAATTTGTATATATGGCTTCAGTAAACGTAATAAATCACAGAGGCCTACAAAATAAAACTTTTTTCTTTTATCTTGATATCAGAATGGTTTCTAATGTATTTTTGGGTGCTGAACACGATCCCGGATCTTAAAATTGCCTAGCATGTCAGGATTTTGAAAAAAGTGGGGGTAAAAACCCCCAAGAAACATGTTGTTATGGGTGTTTAATATGATTTTTCTCATTAACCTGACGTGGTAAAAACTTCAAAAAAGTTTTTAGATTATAGCATAATTCGTGTACTACATGACCCGTACACGCAACCCTCTTCCCTAATTTTTTCCATAAAATGGAGTTATAACTCACCCTCAAAAATTTTTTATTTTAATTCCTTCGGCGAAATGAATAGATGTTTATTTGTTTTATATTCATAATGTATAAGGACATAAATTTTGCATTTTGCCTATATAATTTTTAACCCCTTCGCAGTCCAGTTAAAAATCACTTATAGGCCTAATAAGGTTCCAAAAAGAGCTTTCAAAAAAATATGATTTCATCGTATTTAAGATTTTTGGGTTCATCTGTCATCAAATTCGAATTCAGCGACCCCGAAAACCCCCGAGAAACAAATTTCGACCGAATCGCATTAGTCTTAAAATTATCCGCCATATTGGGTCGCCATATTGGATCCACCATTTTAAATTTTGAAAATCTGACGTCATATTTGTAATTAGTAACCCAAAAAGCCCCTAAGTAACGAGTTTCAAGCGAATCGAATCAACTTCTAAATTTTCATGGTTGCTATTTTGGATCGGCCATTTTGAATATTTTAAATCTGACTTCAATTTCAGATTCAGCGACCCCAAAAACTTCAGTATATTTATCACCAGTCAAATCGAATTATATTTAGTATTATTATTTTATCAAAAATTGACAGAAAATTTTTTTTATAAGATATGACGATTTCTGCCAAAAAAAACCGTCTGCCATAAGAAATATATGACTTTAATTTTGTCACCACTATTTATTTTTTTAATTTAACATGTTAAACTGTATTAAAAAAATTAGTTTCAACCTTAAAATCAAAATTTTCTAACTCAACTTTTCTGGAAGCTGAATATGACAATTTAAATGAAGTGAGCCATATATAAAGTATAGATTTGATTAAAATTTAAAGAATTAATGAAAGTTAAAGAATAAAAAATTCTCATTTTAGCTAAAAAATAATGTGTTTATTTAAATTCATGTTTATATATGAAATAATTTTATTCCCTACATTGAAACGAATTGGTTGGTATATATAAAGTATAGATTTGATTTAAAATTTGAGAATTAATAAAAATTGAAAAATCGAAAATTCATATTTTAGCTAAAAAATTTTGTGTTTTTTTAAAATTCAAGTTGATGAATAAAATAATTGTATTCCTTGCATTAAAACGAATCGATTCGTATATATAAAGTTTATGTTACACTCAAAATTATTTAAAATTTTCTTTATTTTTCAAAAAATTTGATTAATTTAAAACATTTTTAACTCGAAATTTTTTAAATCAATCAATTGAATTGGACAAATTCATTGCTTCCTTCACGAGGAAGCGAATTTTTTGCTTCACACAATGAGGAAGCATAATGTTTATGAAATAAACATAAAGGACCCCCTCCTTGTTTTTATCTCTTTTTACATTCCTGTATTCAATAATATCTATCTCTTTTTATCTTCTAAGTTTTTGTTACGGATTTTTTATATCTTTCTATTCTTTAAGAGATTTTAAATAAACAGGAAAAAGGCAGAAAACAGTAAAGGAAATTTTTTAATTTTCTAATCATTTAACCCTAGAAGGAGTAACTTAATTTTCTCACCCTCTAAAAGAAAATCTATTCTTTTTATAAGATTGTTTTTCTGGAAATTCTTAAAATTTATTTAACTAAATTAGGTCACGGATTTTGCGATATTAAATCACGCAGTGTGTCTAACGGTCAAGGAAAGTTAAGGAAATAGTAAAGGAATTTTTTTAATTTTCTGAAATTCCTAGTCAATAGTCAATTGTCTTCTGAAAATTCTTAAAGTTTATTTACATTTATAAACTGGAAAAAATTCTCGATTGTTTTCTCAAATTCTAGTTTTTTTTAATATATTTAAAATTATTTATCAATTTTTCTTCCAATTTCTTTTTTTCTAAGATTACTTTCTATTTTCTTAATTTTTTAGTTTTTTTTTTAATTTTCAAAGTTGTCGTCTCTTAAAATGATTTTCGTCTCAAATTCTCCTTTCTTTGAAGTTTCTAAAGTAGGGTTTTTGTAAATTGTCCCAATATTTTTAATTTTCCCGCAAATTCTCCTTTTCTTTTAGGAATTTTTAATATTGATTTTCTTTTCAATGTGGTATTTCTTTAAATGTTCTATTTTCTTTTCATTTTCTAAAATTGTAACATAAGGAGTTTTTTATGTTAAAAATTTTATGAAATGAGTATGTATACATTTTTATAAAGTATAAAAACGTTATATTACTTTTCAATGATTCTTTTACAAAAATAAATGACAGCACTATATTTTCTGTAATATTCTAATTCTACTCAACGACTTCGTATAAAATTATGCTAATTAAGAGATTACTTTTAAGTTTAACAACTGTGCTTTATTATTTTTCCAATTCTTCAATTTATTGAAAAAGTAATATTAATTTTCCTAAATTTCGAAATAAATATAATCGAGATAATTGTCATCTATTTGCCATTGCAATTTTTTATTATGCACTTTAGAGATTATTATTTGTATTGAAAAACTTTTTCATTTAGTTGTCTATTTCTACGTTTACGGACAATAATGACGAAAAGAGTTATTGTTGTAATCACTAAAAGAACAATTGCAAGGATTACAGAGACAATGCCACCCAATCCTATATAGGAATATTTAATTTCAATTTTAGTTGTTGCTTCTTTCATTTCCTGTCCTGAAATACCAGCTGCACAAAACCAAGAACCAATGTCGGATTTCATATCTATTTCTGAAATAAAAAAAACATAATCATACAGCATTTATATAAATAGAATGTTCTATTTATATTTTTTATTTATTTATAGACATGAATTAAAATCGATTTTATCAAATGAAATTTAAATGTTTTTTAATGGAAGTAATTTCTATATGATGTTTTTTTGAAATTATAAAAATTATTGTATGCAAATTTTTAATCTATATGAGTTAATTAAACTTTTTTCATGTGACATATTTATAACTAATTATTACCCTGAATTAACTTGACAATAATGTAGCAAATTGTACCTTGGATTGTTAGTTGACAAGTTGATAACGTTTTATTAGTCACGTAATTATTATCTACATTGTTATAAATTCCAAGACCATCAGGTCTTATCCAACGACAATAATTGATCTTATTATCATAACCTGGTGAGATGCGGCAATTTAGAATTATTGGACTTTTGTGTGTAATGTCAATCGTTTTTTCATCAGCAATTAGTAGAGAATCTGCAAATCATAATAGTTTTAATCTTTTTTTTATGATTAACTCATTAAAGCGTGTGGGACGTATATGCTTCACTTACAAAAACCAATGTAACTTTATAGTTAATATTATTTTTTAATCGGATTAGGTTTATTTTCTTCGGGATGGAGCAAAGTTTTAAGAAAAAATACAAACAATAAATAAAAACATGAAAAAATGTAAGAAATAAAAATTATGAAACATAGGAACTGAATGTTTTTGAACTATTGCGAATACAAATCAGTTCTCAAATATAAAAAATTAAAAATAATGTATCCAAGATGGCACCCAAAATTAAAAAAAAATATCTTACGTTTCCCAAGTCGTAAATAAATAAATTACACATGTTTATAATGGTTCTCTAGGTCGCTGTTCATACGAATTTAATGTTAAATTAACAAGTTGACAACTGACAAATCAACTGTTAACTTTATTAAAAATAACAAATGAGGTGTAACACTAGTTCACTTGTTACGTTTATATTTAATTTTGAAGGTAAGCGTAGTTAAAAGGTGTTTTATACTTCGGTAGTCTTTAGTAAATATTTCACACAACCCAGATAGCACGTAAGTTTGCAGCAACCTTGCGGAAAGCTTCAAATGTCCCACCCGATCCAAGCTTGCATGGTAAGCTTACCGAAAGATTGCGGTGTAAGGTTACTGCAAGATTGCTCAGTAAGCTTGTAACAAGGTCATGTCAGAATTACAAAAAAGTATGAATTTTCATGAAACTTGATATTGTAATATTTTTTTGTCTCTAAAATGAAGTGAAGATTAGGTGCGGTGAAAAAAATGAACATTTTTGTTTTTTTAAAAATTTTTTTATATCTTTACATCTAAATTATTGAATTAAGCGTTTGATATAGTATGGTGACTGACTTTAAAAAAAGAAAGCGTTTTGCGGTAGACACGATTCCGCCATTTTGAATCACCGGAAATTAAAAAATCAAAAAGAATCATAAAATATACATATGTGGCAAGTCTCTAAACTAGGGGTTTTACTTAAAACGAAAAAATAAAAAATGGTGCGCTTTTGAATAAAAAATTTGAAAAAACGACGTTTTTCGTACTTAAATCTAGCGGGGGTAGGAGGGAGGGTTATCGATTCAGTTGATCCTAGTTCAGAAACTGAGAACAGGTGTGCCTAACAGTATGCAAAAAGATTTAAGGCAATACCTTTCTTAGTTTTTTAAGCGAGTCTACCGTAAAAAACATGATTTTGAGGAAAACACGTACGTTTAAAGTCACAATAGCGCTATACGTACGTTACAGTGGTTGCGCCACCCACTATAACAGATTTATCTGGAAAACTAACACTCGGATCGACTGAATATTTTATGAAGGCATTTTTGACATATTAAAGAGTAAATTTATGCAAAAAAATCGATTTTTTTATGAGAAATCCTCCTTAAGTGAAAGAGAAGAGAGAAAAAGTGAGAGTATAGTGAAATAAAATGAAAGTGACGTTCAAGTGCAGTAAGAATGAAGGGAAGTGAAAGGAAAGTAAACTGAAGGTTCGGTGAAGTAAATGTGTACTGAATGTAAAGTAATGTGAAGTGAGGTAAAGTGACGTGCAAGTGAAGAGGATGTAAACTGAAGTGGAAATGAAGTGAAAGTGACGTTCAAGTGAAGTGAAATTGGAGTGAAATTACAGAATAGCAGAGAACTTAAATTTTTAATTGTTTATGTCAATTGTTATGCATTCAGTTAAACGTTTAATAATGTATAAGATCTCTTGGGACCCAACGTCTTGCGTCGTGTCACTTGCATGTTATATGCTTGATACGTTATCTATTACTTGGTTAATTAGTTCTGCAACTATGTGTTAGCTATAGTTGAAGGAGACCACGTCCGCGAGCAATTATTAAGTCATGGATAACGAAGGTGCTGTTAGTACGTCTTACGAATCTATTTAATCCAATAAGCGTGGCTCTCGGATATTAGTTTTGCAATTAAAACGATCTTCAAGTTTCCTTCTCGTGTTAGGTCAATTTGCAAAAGGTCGCCTTCGAAGTTCAGAAAATTATAAAATTTTCTTCAACTTCCTCGAACGCGTCGAGAATTTTAATAATGGAGTAGTTGAGAGATTCGCAAAGTCAAATTTTGTAGATTTTCTTGAATAATGTTACCATCGTTATATTGCTGTTATAATATTATAATATACATTAATAATTGTTGTTTTCTAAGTATTAACTTCTACTTTTTCTATTCTTAATATATTTGACGATTTAATATATTCTGATCGATTTTTTTTTAAATTCCTAACATATTGGATGCACCATTTTGAATTTTAAGAATCTAATACCAGATTTGTTGTCAGAAACACGAATATAACGAAATTCATGCGCATCCAATAGATTGTTAACAGCATTTTAAATTTTCAAAAACCTACGTCAGATGCGTATAATCAACAACTCCGAAAACTTCCGAGATTTTCGAGAACTTAATTTGACTTTTCGAATTTTGTTTTAATTTTGAAAAAATCGTAATTGCGGATAAGGCTCATTTAAAAGTCATAAAATTTTGAACGCGATATTTTAACGATAGTGGTCAAGAATAAAATTTCCGTGGTAGGCCGGACAAGATATTCATAATTTTATTCTCACTAAATAGCACACGCTATTTAATGAAAAAGGCCATACCATGAGGCATAAGAAAAACTGATTTTTCAAACATATTCACGCCATTTATTTTCGTCGGATATGGCTGAAAGTATTTTGCGGACAAAGTCGGGTGGGGGCCGCAGCTTAAATATTGAATTCGAATATATTTTTCATTCAATATTATTTATGTATATTTAAAAAATATAGTTTACTTCATATTAAATTTTATTTTCTTTAGATATTGCATTGAAAGAATAAAACTGTTTGAATGACGCGCGTTAATTTTTATGTAGTTGTCATCACTACCTGTCACATATAAAGACAACTTCTCTCTTTACGTACTTATTCTGCATTTTAGCCGAAATAAATTTTTCTTGAAATGAACGTAAGTTATTACTTTAACTTGACAGTGGTTTTACAAAAAGAAACAATTACACTAACCTGTTACTGTCACAGAAATACGAGATGACATTTCAGTCTTAATTAAAACACCCATGCGACAGCTCCATTCACCTTCGTGCGTGTTGTCAGCAACTTCAACAACGGCTCCACATTCGCCAAACTCTAAACCGGAGCCTTTGTATGTAAGTTCTGTCGGTGAACTTCCGTTTTTAGATACGGTGTATATAGTTCCGCTAGGACTTAATAGCCAACAGTAATCTAGAGCTTCTTCTGCTAAACATTTTAGCTGAAAAATGTTTTAATTAATTTCTTTTTTAAAAACAAAATTATCTACATTTATTTAAAAAATTAATAAAAAATTTGTATACAAATAAATTCTTTAATTTTTTCTTACTGTGAACGAATGTCCTTTCTGTGCATAAACTTTGTCTGTTTTTATATTTGTAATTCGTTGTTGCAAATCGATTTGATTACTTGAATTATGAACATTAATAATAGTGCCAACTATTTTATCATTTATGTTAATAGTACATTTCCATGGACCATAATCTTCTTTTGATGGTGATCTTATAGTTATTCCACAGTCGTAAATATTCAGAGAATTTATATTACTACCTTTTTGTTCACCTTTTCCATAATATTGATACCTAATTTAAATTAAATATCTTTTAATAAAAATAATAAGAATGTTGCTTACGAGAATAATTTTATGACTTAGTTTTTAAAATTACTTCTCGTTTCCTATTCCATAAGTAATACTAAATGTAAAATTATCAGGCCTAGTGAAAAGGCAATATTTTAGTGCGTTTTCAAAATTTGTCCACTTGTCTCGCACTTGACATAATAAATTTGTTAAATTATTCTCTGGATAATGAGTGACGGATGAAGTTAATTGATCTGCAAAAATACAAAGATAAAATATTTTCTTAGGAGTTAGTGCAATCAAATAACCTTAGCTGCCAACAAATTTTAGGTAACGTTTTTTTTAGAGTAATAGTACCAAAAGATAAATAACTCTTAATATAAATGACAGATATTTAAGTGAGCCGCCGCAAAGTAAAAGGGCGCATAAAATTTGTACGGCCGTACAAATTTTATGCGCCCTTTTACTTTGCGGCGGCTCAAGTTTTCATTGGATACAAAATATTCAATAAAAACTGATTTTGATTTTACATTATTAGAAATAATCAAGGTAAAACTATCACTAAACATATCCTATATGTTGGAAGCCAAGGTTTCACCGTGAAGTGTCACATATGTATAAAATATTCATATCTATATACTTTCGACTTTTTAATTATTTGAAATATCTAAAAATTGTATCTTACCATAAGTCGTAACATTTACATAAGTTTTCATTGAAGAGGTGCTTCCTATAACACCGTAATGTATTGTCCAAGATCCTTCATGGTATTTTGTAACATATGGAATTTCATAGAAACATGATTTAGCCTGTATTGGCAATTTATTTTTTTTGGGATCTTCTAGTTGACAATATGTTATTTTTTTCTTCAACGGTGAATTTTCTTCTTTTGGAAAAATTATTAAGTTCTTTTTACCGAGTTGAAAATGTTTCTAATTAAAAAAAAAAAAGATTCTATTATTACTTACACATGAACTCTGAGGATAATGGAGCATTTTACGAAACAGGGGGTCGATTATATAATTTCAAATTCACTTTTAATTTCACCAATTTTTAAAGTTAAGTTCACATTCACTTTAACTTTCACTTTTAATTTCTCTTATTTTCTATTTTAAGTTCATTTTTACATTCAATTTCACTAATTTTATAATATTAAAAGTTAAACAACTTATTTTTTAAAATATCAACACAATCTGACAATACACTACCGTCCGAAATTGTGCGAACTCTGCTTTTTCAACAACTATAAAACTGTTCAAATCTTCAAAAATATTAAAACTAAAATTTTTTCCTCTTTATTTTATTAAAGCTAATAAAATTCTGAAAGAAATGACACCTTGACAAAGAGAATATGTTAATTTTTCAATTAGATATCTAAGAAAAACCCAATTTTCAATGTTTTTACTATTTTTTTTATTTCTCTGGCAAAAATTAATATTTTAAAACGTTCTTAGGCTCATTGAAATCGTATTTTGTTACTCAATTTAAATTATATAAAACAATTCATGTACACATTCTTCGCTAGCGTATGCAAACCCTGAAAGTTGGCTCATGAAATGTCAAAAAATTGTGATTAATATTTATATGACAAAAAATGATCAGTAAAATGTATAAATCTTAAATTTACTTACATAAATCAGAGAAGTTTAGAATGATATATTTACTTGATTTTTAAACATTATATTTTATTGTAGAATTAAATTTAAATTTTTTGACATTTTATGAGCCAAGTTTCACGGTTTGCATACGTTAGGGAAGAATGTGTACATGAATTGTTTTATATAATTTAAATTGCATAACAAAATACGATTTCAATGAGCCTAAGAACGTTTTAAAATATTAATTTTTGCCAGAGAAATAAAAAAAATAGTAAAAACATTGAAAATTGGGTTTTTCTTAGATATCTAATTGAAAAATTAACATATTCTCTTTGTCAAGGTGTCATTTCTTTCAGAATTTTATTAGCTTTAATAAAATAAAGAGGAAAAAATTTTAGTTTTAATATTTTTGAAGATTTGAACAGTTTTATAGTTGTTGAAAAAGCACTCCCTAAATCTGAATAAGTGAAATTTCACTTAAAATGTGTCAAAAGTCTTCCACGTAGAAAAATAAGTGTATATGCACTTTTAAATAAGTGGTTTTCACTCAAAAATAAGTGAAGTTTCACTTATTTTTCTACGTGGAAGACTTTTGACATATTTTAAGTGAAATTTCACTTATTCAGATTTAGAGAGCAGAGTTCGCACAATTTCGGAAGGTGGTGTATATAGAATTAAAAATAGAATTGCTATTGTTTAAAGTTGAAAAGACCACGTAGAAAATGTACAGAAAATGGCTTTCGGAAAAAATGGATAAAACTTCAGGAAGATGTTCGTTTAGGTGTCCTGAACAAATAATGCATATGACAAAATGTCCCACAAAAAATTTTTTTAGGGGGCAAAAGTGAAAAAATATGAAAAACATAAAATACACTTCACTTTTACTTCTCTCTTAAGTCACTTCAAAATCAATTTTAATTTACTCTCACAACTTTAACATCAATCTCACTTCACCTTTCATGTTAAAGTGAATTAAGAGTGAAGTGAAAGTGAAGTGATAGAGTGAATGTGAAGTGAAAGTGAAGTGGAATTACAGAATCGCACCCCAGAATGGTCCCAATCTGCGTACTTTATGTTTCTCATATTTTTTCACTTTTACCCCATATAACTCAAAAAATATTCTTTGTGGGGGCATTTTGTCATAAACATTATTTGTTCAGGACACCTCAAACAACACCTTCCTGAAATTTCATCCAATTTAGCTGAAAGCCATTTTCTGTACACTTTGTGCGTGGTTCTTTAAAATTAGTGTAATTAAAATAGAAAGTAAAAGAGAACTTACAATTAAATTTAGTGAAATTTAAAGTGGATTTGAGACTGGAAGTGAAGTTGAAACTGAAAATTAGGGAAATTGAATTTGAAAATGAATTTAAAATTGAAAGTGAAATTAAATATTAACTTGAAATTGAAAATTGGAGAAATTTAAAGTGAACATAAAATTGAAAATTAGAAAAAATTGAAAGTAAATTTGATAGTCAACTTAAAATTGAAAATTAGGGAAAATTAAATTGATAATTCAATTAAAAGTAAAACTTATTTGAAATTACTTAATCGATCCCTACAGGCTTATTCAGCACAATATAGAATCACGGAAATCATCGTTGAGATAAAAATTGATATTTCTGTTCATGAAAAAAGGTATTTGAAAAAGTAGCAACAAAATATTTTATGTTTAAAAGAGAATATTTATCATAATAGTATTTCTAGATTTTAATTGTTAAATAGGATATTGGATTTTTATTCACCGATTGCGACTCATCATTTTTTTCCACTGGTCTAGGTCGTAAGTAAAATATCATTTCGTATATTTCATGACTATTAATATCTGAAGCATAAAGATTCAAATTATAACCAAATTTTGCTTCTTCATATAGAATTTGTACACCACACTCGTTAGATTGATTTATCGATAAAGGAGTGTTCTCTTTCGATGAAATATCATAAATTAATGTCTCATCTTCAAGCTATAATTTGTGAAAAAAATTGTTTTTATATCTCAATATAATTAGGAATTGAATTACAACGATCCAAAAAATTAAAGATCTTTAAATAGGAATTATTTATTAAAGTGAATTAGAAAATTTTCAAATACCTCGACTTGAAGTAAGCAGATTTCTAAATTATTGAAAGGAAACGGCATTTTAAGAATTGCATATTGACCCTCATAGATATTAATATCATTGATATTATCGGTTTTTTCGATGACTGTCAACTATTTGAAAAATTAAATTTCATAAAAAGTTATTTGCGTTTTTTATAAACTAATTTCCTTTATAATTAGATAAACTTACATTTTTAATTTGAATATAAAATGTTTCAGTTACTACTCTTTCTTTTTTAGTCTCAACATTTATTTTCCATATTCCATTTAATTCAGCAGTAGGATTATTTATTATTATTTCATATCCATAATCTTCTTTTTTTTTAAAAGTTATAGAAGACTCAGTTTTATTAATTATTAACGTTTTATTTTCTCCTTTATTTGTCGTTACATTACAACTCTTCACAGTTTCGTCTATTAGTTCCAGTGGTAATTTGACTTCCTTTTCACCAATATCTTCTTGAATAAAGTGAACTAAAACCACAACAAAAAATATCACATTTAGAATTAGAAAGATTAGATTTTGAATATCAAACTAGATTTAAAAAATTTTGATTATTTTAAATAATAACGATGATCTATCATCCACGATGAAAAGAATAATGTATTAAGAATTTCGAGCATTAACAAGGAAGCGCAAAAGACGTACGCACACTTCTGGAAGATGATGTTGAGGGGGTGATGAAAAAGCAAGCTAGGGTAAAAACAATCCTACAGAGGAAGGGCGGAACCAAGGAAAAACCATAAATTTAGCGATTTACCGTTTGCCCCATGGGCGACTTGCGAAGTCACAAAACATGCCAAAATAATGAACCACTTCATTCCGTATTCACAGAGACTTTGATATGACATATTGATTGAGAAACTTCCTTTATATTGAGGTAATCAGTTTCTTATCTCTTTCACTATATACTCTTTCCAAGATAATTTTTATTTACGCGATGTAAAACTTTTCAATTAAACAATGTACTTTTTATTTACATTTATTTAAACTTTTATATAAATACAAGTAAGGTATCCAAAAAATTTAAGAAATATTATCTCATAAAAACTGATTAGAAATATTTAGATTTATTGTTTAGATGTCATTTACACAAAATTTTAAAAAGAAAAAATTACTTTGTATCAAAAATGCTACCAAATTGTAGTACTGATTGTTTCATTTTTGGTGCTACATATAACTTGTATCGTAGACATATATACTTTGATTTTTCTGTATCGTATTCTGCTGATATAATTTAAGATTATCAGAATAATCCCCGAGAATGATGTTCACATGCTTTTATCTGCTACGTGCCATCTGTACATTCGGGTGGCTTGAAATCTAAACTAATCAAATCTCTCAACTAGGTAAATATATTTCATGACATACAATGGCGTCAACAAAATAATTTCCATCCAATAATAATTATCACATTCTGATTCTCTCGAGTTAGTAAACTTAAATTGACTTTAGAAGCGTTTCAACTCCAATGCTAATTCTTCTGGACAAATAGCTCTTCAAATCCAATTCTGACTTGAATAATAAAGTATAGATTTGATTGAAATTTAAAGAATTAATGAAAGTTAAAAAATAAAAAATTCACATTTCAGATGAAAAATGTTGTGTTTATTAAAATTCAAGTTTATATATGAACTAATTTTATTCTCTGAATTCAAACAAATCGATAGGTATATATAAAGTACAGATTTGATTTGAATTTTAAGAATTAATAAAAATTGAAAAGTCAAAAATTAATATTATGGCTAAAAATTTTTGTGTTTTTTTAAATTCAAGTTAATACGTTAAATAATTAAATTCCTTGCATTGAAACGAATCGATTCGTATATATAAAGTATATGTTACACCCAAAATTAATTACAATTTTCTTAAATTTTCAAAAAATTTTATGAATTTTAAGTTTCAGTTTTTAACTCGAAATGTTTTAAATCAATTAATTGAATTAGAGAAATTCATAGCTTCCTCCATGAGGAAGTAAATTTTTTGCTTCACACAATGAGGAAGCAAAATGTTTATGAAATAAACATAAAGGACTCCCTCCGACCCCCTCCTTGTTGTTATTTATCTTTAATTTTAATTAAAAATTAAGAATAAAAAAGTAAGTTTGCAAAAAAATGTATTTTCTCCCATTACCCCACCTGTGGGGTATTGGGAGCTCTCACTTGAAATTCCAGTAAAATGATATAATTTTTATTTTCTTTAGATATTTTTCTTATTTTGTCAAAAGTTTCCGACAGATGAACATTTTACAAAATATTAAAACATAAAAAAGACCTACAGCTTCTTTAGTATTAGAATATCCAATAATAACACATTTTAGACAATAAAACACAAATATTGATTCTTAGCAATTAAATATGCAACAATATCAAATTTTAAAAATGAATCTTGTTTAATTTTCAAAAAAAATAAGAAAAGCCATATCGAGGAAACGAAACTCTGACAATTGTTATTTTACTACTAATAAATAACTAATCACAATTGCAAAATTTTTTAAATTGTAAGTTCTGGACATGCTTTTTTTGATAGAAAATATTCATTTGTCTATTCATTTGTGTTACGGACGGATTTCCGTAATTTTTTAATTTTTTTTGCTAAATATTATTCATTAGAAATAATATTTATGTTTATATTTTTATATTATATTATTATTATATTATAATACTTATACACCTACAACATGAACAACACAAACACATTCACCTATTAATTTTCGGAAACTAGAATATTTAAATAATACTTCTAAATAATTCAATTAATATTTATAATTTCATTTTTTTTATTATTTTATTTAATTTCCAAATCAAAATTATTGATCGATTGCACAAGTTGTGGGACTTACACTGTAAAGAGTTGCCACATTATTTTGGAAAATGAGGAAACATATGAAGTATAAAAGTACATTAGGTGGTTGAACCGATCACGCCACTAGAAAAATGCAAGTTTGCGAAAACTTGCATGGAGACAACGAGGTGTTGATTGCAAAATCAACCCTCCCACCTCCTAAAAATCGCATACCAACAGGGTGTGATCGTTGCCACCAAATTATTATTCAAGGAGTCTTATTTTATATTTCCCGCAAGGCGGACGTATTACCCGCAAAAAGGCGGAAGAATTTTTATTTAAGTTTTGTTCCCACCAAAGGTGGTTGATTCAGTTATTTACTCCCCTCAGAAAGGGTAGAGTCTACGAAATTATCTCAACAATACAGTGAAAATTCCACATTTGTAAAATCAATTGTTATATAAAAGTTCTTAAAATTAAAAAGAAGGATAAATTAATTATCAAATGCAAAGTGCTATAATTGTTAAAAGTGCAAGTTACGATTAAATTCAGAAAGTGTTTTATTTTGTTTATAACAACAATTGTTTATATTTCAAAACTAACTGTTGGAAAATTCAGGTTTGGTGAACCCAAACTTCTGAATTTTTAATAAGCAAACTTTGAAATATTAAAATAATTGTTGCAAGTCAATAAATATTAAAGGTTAAATAAAAGGAATTTATTAGAGAACAGAGGAAGAAAGGATATACTTCCGCATGTTTGTGAATCATATATATATATATGTAACGCATTTTCCAAACTAGTTTTAGTTTCTCTTTTCCGCCCCCTATTTTCAAGGACAACATTCCTTGGACCATCGGTTACCCCAAGGAATGGTCCAGAGACAAATAACAGTTGTTTTCCTCGCCTACATCCGAGTAGGAACTTTTCATTTATCTACGGACTTCAATGTAAAGTTAACAATTCTTTTAAATAAATATTCGATATCTACGGATATATCTTTTTATTAATAAAATAAATAAGTGTTTTATTTCACCCGTCACATTTTTGGCGATCCTGCCAGGATAGCTTGATACGATCGCGATCAAAAATCGGCTATCCTTGTGAGAACCTTGTGAATTTAAATTTTTGTGAAAAATATTGTGACGAATTATTACGGTGATATTTTCACTGGGAATTACCGGAAAACACGGACTCGGGCCGAATTAAGTAAGTTCGACAGTGATTCCGTGGGTATTCAAGTCCCAGGAAAGGTGAGACGCCACCCAACCAAGTTGGCAACGGGGGAGTGTATTTCTTACGAGTGACACGACGCCACGCAACTAAGCTAGCAACGAGAGAGAGAGAGAGTACCTTACGAGTGACACATCTCCAGGCTGACCGTACAACACGACTTTCAACAATCAACGAGTAAGAAAAATAATTATTAGACAATAAATAAATAATAGTAAATATTAATAATAATATAATAATATTAATAATTAATATTGACAATAAATATTAATAGTAAATAAATATTATTATTATTGTTTATTTATAAACATTTTGTTAACAAAAAAAATATATATTATTATTTATTATTAAAAATTGTTATAAATTTTGCGAAATTATAAAATTCTACAAAATACGAAATTCAAAAAAAAAAATTATAAAATAATCTCAATTACAAAAATAAAATTAAGCAAGCAAAAGATTTTTTTTAGACAAACAATTTATTTTGTAACATATTATTTATTTAAACGAAACTACGCTGGCTTTTCAATCGTATCTTAGATATTTATCCGGTTACGAAGTTACTGACAACCCTCGAGAAAAATCCTCTCACATTAATAAAAATTTACCCGAATTTTCAAATATCAAAATGACATCCACTCCAGATTTAGAGAACCTTATCCGCACACTTACTGACACAGTAAAACAATTAAACACTAAAATTTCGTGTATGGAGGAAACACAAAATAAAATGAACGGGAACCTTCTAATTCTTGGTAAAGAAAATTCCAGACGCGCTGAGGAAATCGAAGCGCTTGCTAAAAGAACCGACGCGTTAGTTACGGACGACTATGATACAGATGATTCACTAAAAAATTTAGACAATAAAGAACCATCCCGTTGTAAAGCCCAGGAAAATTTAAAAAAAAATGATGTTGAGACGAGAATGTCTTCGTCCCAAAGTACATCGGAAAACCCACAGGGACCCCCGACTGGCGACAATTTTATGAGCGGAAACTCGGCACCACACGTAGCGAGGGCGAACGACCTGTTACCTGCTAAAGAGATAATTCGAACCGTAGAAACACTTAACGGGCGTGACGATGTCGGAACCGAAGATTTTATAAAAACAGTGCAACGTGCGCGACAACGTTGCAGTCAACCAGAATTATTGCTCGACTTTATATTAAGGGAAAAAGTAATCGATGATGCCAAAAGATCAATAAGGCATGTGTCTATAAATGATTATAACGATTTTTATCAAGCACTCAGGGTAAATTTAGGGTCAGGAACCTCGATTGAATTATGTCGTGCAAAACTAGATTCGTGTAAACAAGGAAACGAAAGTGTTCAAAATTTTAATCAACGTTTCGGAAAATGTTTAAATGAATTACATTACGCGATTCAATCAGAACACAGTTCACCAGCCGCGCGAAAAGTAGCTCTTCAGATAGAAGAAAAAACATCAATAAAACGATACATTATGAACCTTAGAGATGACCTCGGAATACAAGTCAGACCTTTAAAACCAAAATCCATTAATAAAGCCCAAGAAGAGGCCCTCGAAGCTGAGGTGTGGATCCGGGAAAAAATGAGACTTAGGATTTCTACAGCGTCAAGAAACCCGCAACAAAGCACGACACCTTTGCGCCTAGGTACGCGCCCTCCCATGTCAAGCAGATACAATAACCCGCCTAACCACAGCATGCCCCTCGCCCAAAGAGCACAGCTACTATGCAACTATTGTAAAAAACCGGGACATTTAGAGTCACAATGCTTCGCAAAGAACGGTAAGACACCAAATTTTCAACTGGACCAAAGATTAAAGAAACCCCCCGCGAGAGTACATATGACACAGGAAGAGTGTCAGGAAACGAACGAAACTCAGGAAACTCACAACGAGAATCCGGACAATATACAGACAGAATATCTTACGTTTCAGGACGACTTCAGTCAATCATACTACGACCTCGACTATTCAAACGAGACATCAGACTGCTTGTTGACTCAGGATCTTCAATAAATTTGTTAAAAGAATCTTGTGTTCCTGATAATTTCCAACAAATATCGCAAAACAAAGAGTTTAAAATGGGGAACGAATCGCACATATCTCAATTCAAAATCGAACTCCAATATCTTGACAAGACTCATATATTTAATGTTGTTTCAAACGATTTTCCAATGCCGGAAGATGGAATTTTGGGACTTTGTTTTCTTCAAAATTATAAATATAACTTGTCAAATAATAATTTGAATTTAGACAAAAAATTACATTTTTTGATGGATGACGGCATCTTAATACCTCCTAATCAAATGAAATTAGTTAAAATACCTGTTTCTAAACAAAATGGATGTGCAGCTTTTATGGACAACCCACATGTGCCTGACTCTATTTTTCGAATTTGCGACTCAAAAATAACTGTGCCTTTGGTCAACGATTCCCAAAAACCAAAATTAATTTCTATGACCGAACTAGACTATAAAATTCTAAAAAGCGAACCATGTGAAAATTTTGTTCATAATATTACACAAGATGAATTCGCAGCACGGCTTAGGTTACTAACAGAGAATAGTAGACTAGATCACATCGAAGGTGATTTTCGTGAAATCATACACAAAATCATTCAATCGTATCACGATGTCTTTTCACTTCCGGGAGATCCTTTACCCAGTTGTAAGTTAGCCTCACACCGTATTGTGCTTAAAGAAGACAAGATTGTCAATATAAAATCATATAGACCGCCCGAGGCTCATCGGAAAGAAATGAATGAACAAGTAGCGGATTGGTTAATAAAGAAGATAATTAGACACTCAAAGTCTCCTTTTAACTCACCACTTTGGTTAGTGCCTAAGAAAATCGATGCTTCCGGAGTACAAAAATGGCGAGTTGTAACAGATTTTCGTAAGATTAATGATATAACTGACCAAGACTCATACCCACTACCAGTAATAGACGATATCCTTGACCACCTTGGAAAAGCCAAATTCTTCTCAATTTTTGACTTGAAATCCGGTTTTCACCAAATACCCATGGAAGAGTCTTCAAAAAAATTTACCGCCTTTTCGACAACAGAAGGACACTTCGAATTCGAAAGAATGCCTTTTGGTCTCCGTAATGCTCCCGCTACCTTTCAAAGAATGATGGACCGAGCTCTCGAAGGATTAATCGGGAAAATATGTTTTGTATACCTCGACGATATTGTTGTATTCGGCTCAACCCTACAGGAACATAACGATAATTTAGTAACACTTTTCGAACGGCTCCGTCAAACTGGTTTAAAACTACAGCCGGATAAATGTGAATATTTACGTCCTGAACTGGAATATCTCGGACATTGCATCACTAAAGACGGCGTGAAACCTAATCCCGCAAAATTAGAAGCCGTTTCTAATTTTAAACAACCAAAAAATGCAAAAGAAGTAAAATCCTTCCTTGGCCTATCTGGTTATTACCGAAAATTTATAAAAAACTACTCTACAATTGCAAAATCATTAACAGAGCTTACAAAAATCTCTAATCCTTTTATTTGGACTGATAAATGTCAAGAGGCATTTGATAAACTCAAAATGAGTTTATGTAAAGCTCCTGTTTTACGTTACCCGGATTTTGAAAAAGAATTTGTCCTAACCACTGACGCGTCCAATGTTGGTATAGGTGCAATTCTTTCACAAGATGGCCATCCGTGTTGTTACATATCAAGAACCTTAAATAAGAATGAACTTAATTACACCACTTCCGAGAAAGAACTACTAGCTATTGTTTGGGCAGTTAAACGTCTTAGACAGTATCTGCTCGGTAGAAAATTCAAAATATTAACCGATCATCAAGCCCTTAAATGGCTCTTTAATATCAAAGATCCATCTTCGAGATTAATGCATTGGCGACTTCGAATGGAAGAATACGAATATGAGATTGAATACAAAAAAGGGTCAGAAAACACAGCAGCAGATGCCCTATCGCGAATTTTTGCAATTGATGAGGAAAAATCCGAGATAATGCCACATAGCTCTAATTTCGACTTGGAACTCGAACTACCTGAGATAGAAGAGTTAAATGAGAATACGGACCGTGATTTACATACGCCAGTGCCTCAACAAAATATTCAAACGCGACCAGAAGTTACTAGCCCATTTGAACCATTAATATTAAATTTCGATATCGACGAGAATCAAACCGTCACTATCGACCATCAAGAAGAAACAAATATAGAAACAGAACAATTATTTAAAGAATACTATAAATGGTTTGAAAAGCGCACCGAGTCTCGCGAAATCGAAAAACCAAACGCACCAGGGAAGCTTTGGAGAAGAATATCTAAGAATCGCGTGAACTTAAGGAAAAACGTTATAAAATTACCCGAATACAATGAAAAGAAATGGCTGCAAGCATTAGATCAACAAGCGAAATGGACAATTGAAAAGAAATACACCATTCTTCGCCTTCATTTCGACGACCCAACTTTTACGGCAACTGAAAAAATTAAATTAAAAATACTTATTTCTTTTTTGTGTTATAAATATCAAGGTCTAAAGGTACACACTTGCTTCAATGCAACCACAGAACTTACGCAAGAAGAACGCGAACAAATTCTTAAAGAATGCCATGGTTCAATAATGGCCCAACACTTCGGTGAAAATAAATCTATCTCACGTGCAAGAGAACTTGGAACTTGGACTAATATGGAAGCAGAAATAATTGATTTCATAAAAAAATGTCACACGTGTCAAATTCAGAAATTACAACGTATTAAACACAAAGCAGAAGCAATTATTCCGGACACACCAACTAACCCAAACGATAAAATTGCTATGGATATATTTGGACCTCTTCCGGTAACTGCACAACAAAATGAGTACATTTTGTCAATTCAGGACATGTTGACTAAATATTTAATTCTAGTTCCTTTAAAAAATGCTACCTCCGAATCTATCATAGAGGGACTTTTCGATCACTACATCTATACGTTTGGATCACCGAAACACATACTAACGGATCAAGGACAAAATTTTGTATCGGAATTAATACAGAACTTCGAAAACCTGTTTCGTATAAGGCATGTTAAAACAACAACTTTTCATCCCCAAAGCAACGGTAGTTTGGAAAGGGCACATTCGACTATTAAAGATTTAATACGGACAACGATGAGCGATAATCATGTAGAGTGGGACCTTACACTTAAAATTATTTGCATGGCTTATAATACAATGATTCATGAAGGTACTGGATTTTCACCATTTCAGTTAACCTTTGGAAGAAATGCGAATCTACCTTCTCTTCTCGCTACAACTCCATGTCTTAAATATTCGGAACTAATCAAGTTATGGAAAGATAGACATGAAAAATATATCGAGAAGGCTCAAGAGAAAATACAGCAATCAAAGGAAAAATATAAGAGAATTCAGGATGCTAGGATTGTCTTACCACAAAAAATATTTGAAATAGGTGATTTAGTTTTGCTTGAAAATGTTAAAAAGGATAAGTTATGCGCTGATTGGAAAGGACCCGCTACAATTATTAGTGTTAAAAACAATAACAATTTTGAAATACTATTTAACAACGAAAGGCATTTAATTCACTCAAATAAATTAAAACCTTATTATCAATAATTTCAGGGAACATGAAGATTATATTATGGGTCACAATCTTATTTTGCGTCCGAGCAGATATACACCTCAAGGACCTCGATGGAACTACAATATTTGCAGAAAACTTGGGTGTAACTAAACTATACCACGAAACCTGGAAATTGATCCTAAAAATTGATACCACTAATTTTGAGTTAAGATTCTCGCAGCTTTCAGATATTTATAATCAGGCCTCAAATTTATGCAATAAATGTCCGCAAAAATACGAATTAAATATTGTCAAAAATAGACTTAATAGATTGCAAACTTCAAAACAATTGTTACATCACATACTAGGGCAATCCCGTTATCGTAGAGGTTTTTTTAATTTTATAGGGTCTATCTCCAAAACACTTTTTGGGACATTAGATGATCAAGATCTACAAATAATCAATAGTGAACTAGACGCGGTATACAAGGATAATAACGTAATGGTTCAATCTCTTGGGAACCAAACAAGAATAATAAGAACTTTACTTAATAGTGCATCTCACGACCTTAAGAACCTAAATGAACATTCTCAAAACCGCACACTACAATTGAACCAAATTATAAACTCCACTAATCAAAATAACAAACAAATCCTCATTACTAATTTAATCTCCACCGCGGAAATTACAATAGCAGAATATAGCGAAGATTTAAACTTAATGATCGATGCTATAAATGACGGAAAGCATGGTATTGTGCACCCTCAAATTTTAACACCCGCAATATTAATACAAGAATTGCGACACATCGAAGAATCCAGTAACCATAAATATCCTATAAAATTAATTGGAGATAATTACCAACATATCGTAGATATATCAGAAATAACAATCGGAATTATCAACAAAAATTTAGTCTACATAGTAAAAGTTCCTGTTCTAGAATACGAAGATTTACAAACTTTTCACCTAATTCCAATTCCTATTCCCCATGGAAATAGTTTCATAGCACCCATCCCTTCTCACGAGGTTGTCTTAACAAATATAGAGAAAAATATGTACGTTCCTTCGGATATTGAAACTATAAAACTATGTAAAGAAATCGACGATCTACGTATTTGTAAACGAAATCAACCGACTTATCTTATTAGTGAGACTAATTCATGCGAGACTAGTATAATTCGTCGTCAAAATAAACATGTTACGGATCAAATATGTCAATTCTCTGCTTTTAGAATTCTGGAATTAGTTTTTATTCCGTTGAGAGACCCAAACCAATACATATTGGTTCCGGAGATGCCTTTTGAACTGAGTGTATGGTGTGGAACTCACACACAGACTATTAAACTTAATTCCGCAAGTTTACTTTTTAGCGATAATGACTGCACCATCCAAACACCTAAGTCTATTTTAAAATTGAGAAAATCGAAGGTAAGAACTAGCGATATTTTCTTTAGGAAAAATGTGACTTATAAGTTAAATGCCGACGACATTAGTTTATTAAGTAACCAGTTACCTTTGATCCAAGAGTCGTTACGTCACGAAAATTTTAAGGAGTTACGACAAAGCCTAAATGTGATGGAAACTTCCTTACAATCTATTAAATCGAATAGACGTACGAAAACTTGGATAGAAACAAGTACTGATATACTAACCTATTTAGGTTACATATCTTTAGGAGTAATTAGTCTTTATAGTTTATATAAAATTGGATTTTTTGATTGGCTTAGACAAATGATACCTAAAAACTTATGTATAAAATTGTTTTGTATTTCTACTACTGTGACAGCGACCCCTACTGTAAATTATACACCGGTAGCAACAGCGCCTGTTGATCCATCTAATGCAATATTATATAATAGAAACATTGACGACGATATAATAGTATTACCGAAAAGAGTTAGAGTACGACCTTAGAGGACTAAGCTCATTCTAACCTGGGGAGTGTAACGCATTTTCCAAACTAGTTTTAGTTTCTCTTTTCCGCCCCCTATTTTCAAGGACAACATTCCTTGGACCATCGGTTACCCCAAGGAATGGTCCAGAGACAAATAACAGTTGTTTTCCTCGCCTACATCCGAGTAGGAACTTTTCATTTATCTACGGACTTCAATGTAAAGTTAACAATTCTTTTAAATAAATATTCGATATCTACGGATATATCTTTTTATTAATAAAATAAATAAGTGTTTTATTTCACCCGTCACATATATATGAAATCCGAAGTTCAAATATCAAACGTTGAAAAGTAATTAGATACTTTTTAGTATCTTTATTTTATTATTATTCTGGTGAGTTGCTTCAATGCTATATATATATATATATGTGACGCCGCACGAGAAAAGGTACCTATCGAAAAAAAAATCGATTTTGATTTTATGCTGTCATTCAGTAGATTTTGAGTTGTTCTTTCACATGAAAAAATAAGAAATGAAAAAACTTTAATAGTTTTAATAATATAAAATCCAGAAGATACCCATGTCAAGCGCGTTTCCGGACGACTTGTGGTGTCTACGAAAACCAGCCCCACCACATTACTACTACCACTACACTCACTGTGTAGGTGAGCTTGCTCGCTTCGTGCATCTTCGTTCTCTTGCGTCTTTCCCTCCTCATTTCTCTCTCCCACTATTCAAGTTACTGGCACTTAGCTCTGCATAATTATCAGATTCCCAGAAATTAAAACTATATTATAATTATATAATGTAAATAAATGACTGTCAAATCAAAATTTCTTAACATTTTTTGTTTACTGAGCTGTAAATAAATTACTTTCAGTAATAATTAAAAATTTTTTTAATTTAATAAGAATAAAAAAAATTCAAAAGTTTTTTTAACGTTTGTTCACTTTTTGAAAAATGAGAAAATTTGTAAAATTAGAGTATTCAAACAGTAATTTTTTTGGCCAGTTCTGGTTGCATGTTAAGAATAGTAAATTCAAAAAATAGAATAATAATTACACAAAAAAGACTAATAATCGAACAGTTTAGACAGTGAGTAAAAAATGTTGAGTAGTTCATCATAACGTAATTATCATTTATTTTATTATTAAATAATGTTGTTAATAATATTGTTTATAAAAAAATTTTAAGCTAACTGTTTTAATTAATTCTGCTTAATTATAGTTAATTTAATTTGAATTTTATGTTCAATTTACAGTTATAAATATTAAGTGTAATAAAAAGAATGGTATTTTTTATTTATGTTAAACAATTAAATAAGAATAAAAAAATATTGATTAATATAATAATTAATAATAAAAAATAATATTAAAAATTAAATAGAAAGAAAATAAAAAAACTAAAAATTGATTTAAATAATTTTTTCTGAAAAATTGAAATTTTCGAAAAAAGCGGTTTCTCCCGTTTTAACCTTTAGTATATGCTCGGGGGACTTATTTCGTATACGAAACTCTAGGTTTGGAAAAAAAATCGGACAACATTAAATATTAATTGTTAAAATATAACAGTCTTATTCGCATTTCACTGTCCTGAAAATTCATCTACCCTATTTGCAATGAAGTAATTATGTACATTGTATAAAACTATATATTAAGTACTTCTAAAAATTGCTTTTATGAATTTTTTTATTGAACATATTATTTTAAGCATTATGCATTTAAAAATCATGCCTTTAATAACTCTTTGATACGAAATAGGTTGATACATTAAAATCGTAAAAGAACATTTTTATTATTTTCAGAATTATGTTTAAGTTTTTGTACATTACATAAAAAATAATTAAAAAATTAAAAAAAAATTTTTTTAATTTCGACGTAATTAAAGCTTACAATTAAATATATTTACACGTATTCTCCATAAATCATTCGAAAAAAATAAACTTGACTTTATTCCATTTATAATTGGACTAGAAAAAAAAAGAAAATAAATTGTTATATTTTTTTCTTAACCAATTCTAGCCTTCTTTGACTTTGGAACGATTGGTTTTGAAGTCTTGCAGATGTTTTTAACTTTTTTTGATGCTACAGATTTTTTTTTTGGACGTCTTTTTGTTGTTCTGAAGCCTTTTTTGGTTTACTATCTTTTTGCTTTGGTTTTGGTTGAAGATCATTTGGCTTTGGAGCAAGAAGATCTTTTGACGACTCTTTAGAACAAAGAGGACGAACTTCTTTGTATAAATACCAAGCCCTCTGCAGTGATAATCCATCAGGTTCAACAACTTTTAAAGGCGAAACGTTTGCATGCAATAATGTTGCTTTGCGAATTTCCTCCTCTTCCGAATTTGAAAAAAATTTTGCTTTCACCGATCCGTCTTCATTAAATCTAAAATGGTGATACTTTGTGATATTCGGAATGGGTTTAAAGTATTGTGCTAAAAATTCGTCCCATTGTGCCCAAACAACATTGCGAGTATTATTCCTTGGATCCTTAGAAGGAACAGCAATATTAAAATTGTTTGGAGAAGATTTTTCGATGACGTCAAGGAAATCTTCATGGCAGTCAACTATTGACTTCGAAAATTTGCATTTTATTATTCCAAAATTACGATCGGGGGAAAATTTAGTGTGTCCAGTTAATAAGAAATTTAACTGAATTGATTTATTTAATTTTTTTGTCATTCTCCAAAGAAGATAATTTATAAGTGCATTGTTCTTGTTCTGTCCAGTGCAGTTATTAGCAAACAGTACAAGATTATCGGCAACATTGTTACTCAAATAATAATGTAGCATGCTGATGACTGCATTGGCACCTTTTCCTACTTTATCTTCCTCGTCAATCGTGATATTTGTTTGAATGTGAGTAGCCTCATTATTTATACCGAATAAACCACATTTGCGATTCGCCTTAAAATAAGACGAACCGACTTGCTGAGGGCTACTAGGGTAAGACACATTCTGGGCATAATCAAAAGATATCACGAGTAAGGAAGATTGACTTTCCAACTTTGCTTTTTCTCTTTGAATGTTGTAAAATTCCCGCTGTTGTTTGGCATTTTCCAAATGATTTCTTGACATTTCAATCAATGCAAATTGCTCCTCAGTTGTTACTTTTGATAAATTTGATAACTTCAAGTTATTTTCACGGCAGGTCGAACAAAGGTCACTTGCTGGTTTCATTGTCGTAATTTCCGGGCAATACATATTCCAAATATTCCTAAAAGAGACTTCAGAAACAATGCGAATTTCTTCGTCTGTGGAAGCTGCTTCTTTAAATTTACGGTATACTTCCATTTTCGTGTCAGAGGATGGCAATTTTAATACTTTTTTAAAATTTCTAAATTGAGGCAGACGACCTGGCAAAGGAATTGCTACTTTGGAAGCATATGTTTTTAGAAATTTTACGATATTTTCTATGTCAAGAGCAGTTATTACATTTTCCCTCGTAGACAATTTATTCTTAGACTTATGCTCCCTTAAAGCCAGACCGTTCTCATCGAAATGATTAATTATATTTCTATACCTTCTAATGCCAATTTTGTGTAGAAATAGGTACATATCGCGGCAAATTATGGTACCAGCAAAAAAATATTGCACATGTTGATGCTTTAATTTAATTTCAGACTCTGGCACTGACATTGGTGATGTGTTTTTTTCAATACGTGCTTATTGCTTAAACTGTCGGTATAAAAGCGATGGCTTTGCAAGTGAGATAGAATCACCAGATCTTGTTCAGTTTTGTCAAGTTCCGTAAAATTTAATCTGTGAAACAATATCTTTTATTAAAATTGCTTGCAAATTTGTTTTTATCTTAAATTCCAATAACATTATAAGCATTTAAATTTTAAAATATTTTTAATTCAAGGTACATAAAAGTTTTGTAACATAATTAAACACTGAAAAAAATTCATTTGGTTGAAATAAAAAGAATTGAGTCCAAGTAAATAATTTACTTTATATGAGTAATTGTAATTGAAATCAAAACCTCTTTAATTGTTAACAATTTTTTTTTTGCTTTTTGAATTAATTTAGTGCTCAATTTGTATCTTTTTTATATTATTTTATATTTATTTATATATTTTTTATTTTATTTTAGTTCTATTTTAAAAATCAATAACAATGTCTAATAATTACGATTTATTTACTTAAAATGTATATTAGATATTTAAAAAACATAAATAAACTTAAATGAATAAAGTCAATATCCAATACATACTTTTAAATTACAAAAAAGAATGAAACATTCCCCAGAATTAAAAAAATCATTATTTTTTAAAACTATATAATTAGTAGTTTCGTTGCACTTTGTCATATTTTATCTGTTATAATATAAATATAATATGTACATAAAGTAACGCATTATTTACATTTATTTATTTATTTACTCACTTGTATGTATTAAATAAATTAGTTGATTAGAATCAATAAAATGAATTTATTGTTGCAAATAAATTTTATTTGTATCAAAAAATCAAATATTTGAGTTAAATAATTATATACATGAATAGTTTCAAACAACTGTTTGCTTTTATTTTAATTACATATTTAATTTGTCGAAATATTTTTAATTGTTTTAATAAATTAATATATTAGTATTAAATAATTTATTATTGATAATTTAGTTTATTTAAATCCGTAAAATAAATTTATGGTGTCAAGTAATTTTTATTTTTATTAAAAAACCAAGTACTTGAGTGAAATAAATAAATAATTTCAAATAACTAATTTTAGTATTAAATAATGTGCAAAGCTTGAACCAAATACGATTCATTTGGTTAAAATCAGCGTGATTCAAATAATTCAAAGTATTTGAATCAAATACATATTTCTTGGATCCAAAAAAGATTTTTGAACCAAGTAAATAATTTTACATCATTTGAATTAGTTCAATAAAATAAATTTATTTTCTGTGTATTTAAAAGCATCTAATTATTGTAAAATACTCACGAACCTTTGCTTTATAGCTTCTTTCATTGATATTTTTTCGTTGCACTTCATATCACAACAAGTTTTATCATAAAATGTTGAAACTTCTGATTCATCATCCTGATCAATGTCTCTTGTTTCAAAAAATTCTATATTACTAGAATTATCCGGCTGTACAACAATTACATACATAATTAATTATGTTAAGCCAACGTATGACAATAGAAAAATACACAGAAATGAAATTTGTTAATTTTATATCAA